TTTTTTTAATGTTTATTTTTGAGAGTGCGTGAGAGCGCAGGGGAGGTGCAGAGAGGGAGGCAGATGATCCAAAGTGGGCTCTGCGCTGACAGCGGAGAGCCCAGTGTGGGGCTTGAACTCCTGAACCATGAGATCATGCCCTGAGCTGAAATAGGAAGCTTAACGACTGAGCCACCCAGGTGCCCCCGTCCCCCTCCCCCCCATTTGGATTTTTAAAATGATGGGAGAGGGAGTAGAATCGTGATGGAAAGGATCTGCTGTGGTTAGTTGACTTCTGATAATTTTTAACCTTTTAAATGTTCCCTTTTATGTTGGCTTTGAAGATTCTCATTGGGTTAGCTCTCACAGATGGACTAGTCAGGTGCTGGTATGTTTTGACTAGGGATTTCTATTTAAAACTGATTTCTTTTTCGTTTTTATCCTTTGTGTAAGCATTTTACAGGTAGGAAATAGGAGCCCTAGTTACTGTGAATCTAGAAAGTAGGAAGGCAGGATTTGAACTCAGTCTTAATGAGCATGTGTATTTTCTGTGAACATGAGGGTGGGTCAGCCTGGGCTTCTGACCAGGTTTCATGTGTGAATGCTGGACCAGTAAAACTCAGGAGGATAGAGAAACTGGAGTGAGAGGATTAAAAAAGACTTGGTACTTGGAGAGCGGGGTTAGCAGGGTGGTTAGGGGCCACTTTGTGGTTGGTTGACAGAGCCCTGGTTGGAGTTGCCTTCCGGGGCCAGATCCTAAGCATCCAACTGCTTCTCTTCACCAGCCAAGAAGTATGATGCCTTTCTGGCTTCTGAATCTCTGATCAAGCAGATTCCACGAATCCTGGGCCCTGGCCTGAATAAGGCTGGCAAGTTCCCTTCCTTGCTGACCCACAATGAGAATATGGTGGCCAAAGTGGATGAAGTGAAGTCCACAATCAAATTCCAGATGAAGAAGGTAAGGAAGGCTGGCTGGGTTGCATAGGTTTAGTACCACCTGTCCTGGAGTTCTCTAAATAAGTTTTCCATTTATTTTTTCTGAATTCTCTACATGGGAGCCCTGTTTGTGTTTCTGTAGATACTTAGGACATGTCACAGTCACTGAGCAGGGTTGAAGCTTTTAACATAGCCCTGGTCTTCCTGGCCTGGGGTCAGAGTAGGTTTATTAGTGACTGGAGGTCAATTTGGACCATCTGGATTGTAGTTGTGCCTCCTCTCTTACTCTGTTGCGTCTAGCCACCAACCTGATTGACTTTCCTCTTCCCACAGGTGTTGTGTCTGGCAGTGGCTGTTGGCCACGTGAAGATGACAGATGATGAGCTTGTGTATAACATCCACTTAGCTGTCAATTTCCTGGTGTCATTGCTCAAGAAGAATTGGCAGAATGTCCGGGCTTTATACATCAAGAGCACCATGGGCAAGCCCCAACGTCTATACTAAGGCACAGTTTAATAAACCCTAGTGCTACCTGCCATTATCTGTCTGCCTGTGACTAGGGGAGAGGGAAGTGCTCTGTGAGCTGACATTGCATGCCAGAGCTTTGTGCTGATGACTGCAGTTCCTGGCACCCAGTGATGGCTAGTCCTTTTCTCCGTGCTGCAAACCAGGAAGTGCATTCTATCTACCTTAAAATTTAGGTCTTTTGGATACTTACAACATGTGACAGTATAGGACTACTAACAGGGACTGAAACTCTTCTGTACCCTGGAGGGGCTGATCTAGGCTAGGACTCCAGCCTGTAGTGCTCCTGCTTACTAGTAGAAAGGAGTCAGGGCCTTCACTGTGAGGACGTTGACTCTGTCCTTGGCAGCGTGCTTAACCTGTGCGCTGAAGTTGCTTCCCTTTTACACCATTGGTTCTTTCTGTGGGCTTTTTTTGTTTGGTTTTATCCCTCTAAGTGGTGTGTTGAGGCTCAGTCTGTAGGGATCACAAGGACCAAATGGAGTTTGGATTCCTAGATTCTTGTCTGCAATCCTGATCTAGTATTTGTGTGACCTCAAGTTGAATACTGTATATCCAGGGGTAGTAATTTACTCGGAGATGTTTAGGAAAACACAAATAGATCTGTATTAATATTGTAATTCACCAACCTTGTTTTTTGGGGGAGCTTAGCAAGCGGGTAGAATTGGGCTGTGGAAACTTTTAGATCTTTGTACTTGGGTAGGCTCTGCGGCAGGCAGTTCCCTGTTCTTGCCTCCAACACCCAGTACTGGGAAGTTGGTTTTTGGTATGGGAAATACCTGTGATTTAACATTAGACTTGAACCTGCTTCATTTAACTTTGGTAAAGTAACAGGTTCATCCCTCCATCTCTTAACTACAGCTGACAGGCTAATCCAAAGTATATATAAAAATGTACCTTGAAACAAGCTTGAACCATGAACAATCCGAGGTTTTCACCAAAGATCTTTGAGGTTTTTTTTTTATTGTTTTAGCTTTTAAGTTAGTAACTGCTAGTAACTTTGCTTACTGGTAAAAAAGCTGCAGTCTTATCTTGTGATAAGCCCGGAATTTGGGGTCCTAGTTTATGCATAGTAAAAGTGATTGGAAGTTGACCTAACAGAATGTTGGCCATGTTTAACTCTGGGAGTAAAATGATTATCTGGGATTTCCTGGAGTTCTGTCATGTTTGTAATCAGAAAGAAAAAGGCAAATACCTTAACACCTGGCCTCTCGCACTGCTGCTTATTAGGCACTGAATACAACCAAAAAGGCAGAGCCATGAGGCAGAAGCATAAAACCGAAGTCCTCCCTGGAGTTTGCTGTGATGGGTCCCAGCTGCATCTCGAGCGCCAAGTCCCAAGGGCCCTAGTGGGCAAAGCCTCTCAGAACCTGCAAACCACCCCAGAGCCTAAGACCAGAGAGACCTTTTGTTCCTGCCAGCAGTGGTGCAGTACTGAGCAATGCCTGTGGAGCCAAGGGTTTTTTAGAAGCAGTTTCTCATGCACGATCCTGTGTATCCTACCAATCAGAAGGCAATTCTCCAGGAAGTGTTCCTAAAACAGCAGTTGCTAAATAGCAATCACATGTAGCTACCTACGTAGTGTTTGGTCACAGTATGTAAAGTCTGTTGGTCTGGTTCAGTTGAATTTAGATGCTGGTGAATGGGGAGAAAGACCAGGATGGCTTTAGAATTAGACACACCTTCCTGTTTGAAATGAGCCAAGGATTAAAATTTTTTTTTGTAAGTTTGGGAACTCCAGGGAAAGGTTAAGTGGGTGTTTTAGAAATACTTAGGGACTTGAGTCTTACTAGATTGATTTGAATCACCTGGATTTAAATCAAACCCATTCTATTAAGCCTTACGTTATTGGGGTAGGAATTCTTAACCAACTATACTAAAATACAGACCCACTACTGGGCAGTGGGGAACCTGTTTAGAGCCATGGTGCCTGCTCTCAAGAAGCCCACAGCAGCACAATAAAGAGTAGGTAGCAGAAGAGAAAGCAAATGGGCATGGAGGCAGATTCCATTGTGAAAGAAGGTTGAGCGGTTTTCATCAAATTCCAGCCTCTGGGATGATCTGTCGAAAGCTTGTGTGCACCTGAGAATTCAGGGTTCAGCTATCTGGGGAGCCCCAGTTCTCCAGCATTAGCACTACAAGGAAATAAAGAGCCCCTAAGAAATCTCAGAGTAGCACCTAGGCCTTGACCTTAGAATTGACAAGATGACATCAGAACAGAAATGGGCAGGAAAGGCAGAACTTTAGCTCCAGTCTCTGGGATCCAGCCATCTTGGCCCTTTAAAGCTTCCCACAGAACCATGAGCAGGTAAGAGCCACTTCAGGAGAGTCCTGGGCTCCAGCCTCACAAGACTCCCCTTATTCCGATCCTCACCTTACTTTGGGACCTTGAAACTAGACCTCACCCACCTCTGGATCTGTTACAACTGCATGTGGGGGCAAGGAAGTAGGGAGATGTGGGGAGGACAGGCAAGGAGGCCAGCCATATTGCACTTGGATTTTCCGCAGGAGATCTACATGATTCTAAATCACCCGAAGGCTGTTTACCGCTGTTTACTCCGGGAGAGAGAAGGCAACACCACACGTGATGATGCCTCAAGCATCCAATAGATAGAATTACCTGTTAAGCCCAGAGATCAGATTTTGGATCCAGTCCTAGGCTGGGCACGTAGTGGGTGCTTCATAAACCAAGTCCTGACTCCAGGAGCCACAACCACCTGGCTGGGGCTCCAGGCACCCTCCCCATCTTGCAAGTGAGTCTGGCAGCCATCCAATGCTGTGGACTGAGACAAAAAGCTACTAGATTAGTCTACCAGGTGCATGGTCTTGGAGTCAGGCCGACCAGATTCAAATCTTGGTGTTGCCACTGGCTGAGTGAAGACAGCATTTAACTTCAGTGTTTCCCCATCTGCAAATCTGGAGGTTGGACCAGAATGATCTAGAAAACTAGATTCTAGAGTAGGGTTACCTGATTGAGCAAATGAAAATACAGGATGCTTATTTAAATTTGAATTTCAGATAAACAATGCATATCCATTGAAGATACTGTCTCCTCACCCTCCCCACTCTGTGGTCCCTGCTGTATGAGCACAAGATGGTTCAGAGGGGAGAGCAGGGCTTTTCCAGGCAGAGAACAGGTTGGAATCTGGCTTCCCCTGCTAGCAGCCATCCACTTGGGAAAGCACTCTTCCCCCTTGAGGTTCTTCTCTGGTGTAAAGTGAGGACAGGATAGAGAACCAGCGGTAGCCACCACGAAGACTGGGGATTTAGCAGGGGGCCTCAGTAGTTGTGTGACCTTGGGCAGGTCACTTCAAAGAGACCATGCAGCAGTAGAACCTAGGCCAGCACTGGGCACATTTCAGCACTCCACTCATGGCAGGAGTGGGTGGGAGAAAGGGAGTCTGCAAAACTTTCATGGGACCTTGAGTGCAAGTATGGCTTGGGGGCCCTCCAGCAGAGACGGAGTAGGGTGGGGGGACCCACCAGGAGCTAACCTAGCAGGAGCACCCATTGGAAGCTAATCCAACCCAGAGAGGTCTGGCATACACTGGTCACACAGCTAACCCACAAACAAATAACTTTAATTTTTTTTTTTTTTTTTTTTTGAGCAGGAGCTGGGCCTTGAGGGCCCCTACCCCAGCCCCACGCCACGTTTATGATATAACCCATCACAGCTGGATTTAAAAAATACACAAAAAATATAATATACATTATAAAACCTAGGTTGGGTTTGGAAGTGGCCTGAGCGATATGCAAATTGTGAGGACCTTCAGGAAGCTCAGGGGCGGGTGGTGTAAGGAAAGGAAGGGGCACAGTACTTCATATGAAACTCGTGAATGCCCAGAGGCGGCTGGTAGACAGGCCAAGCTGGCAGGGGGGCCTGGGTGTTGGGAAGGGCCAGCAGGGGAAGGGTTAACCTTCAGTCCCAGAACTGATTCTGGGAAGCTGCTGTCCCAGTCCTGGGAGACTGAGATGGAGAAAAACATAAGGGAGTGGCGCCCACCAAGGGTTGACCAAACCCAAGTCTTGGGCATTAAAAAATAGCAAAGCCTTTCTGCTACCCCTTGTCCCTGGAACACTGGTCTGCCCTGATGCTGGGGCTCCATCTTTCTACAGGACGCTCCAAGCTATTTTGGAGTCTGCCCCTGGGGGCCTTCTCCCATCAGGAAGCTGCTGACGGGGCTCAGGCACTGGATCTGGGCCAGGGCAGGTTGGAGGAGGTCAGCACAGGGGCTGACAGAGGGCACCTAACAGGTGCCAAGTACCTGCTGCTCCTCTCTTCCTGCCTGGTCAGAAGCAGCTGCTCCCCTGGGAGGAGGCTCCCAATGTGGATGGCCCCAGCCCCTAGTACAGACCCTCTTTCCCATCCCCTCCAGGGAGGTAGTGTAAACCTGGGCTCTGGGGACAGGCAGCCCTGGATGAGAATTCCAACTCTGCCCCACCCTGCAAGGGTCGCTCAACTTCAAGTCTCAGCACATCATGAGATGCCAAGACCCACGACCCGTGCTCGCTTCACGCAGTCTGAGAAAGGCACTGGGTACCCATAGGACCTAGCACCGGGCCCGGCACATAGCAGGTGCAAGAAAGTGTGGGCCCCTCTCTCTTCTCAACCTAACTCCCAACTCGACACTCTCCTTCCTGGGGCCTCTGCACTCTGACTCCCTCGGTCTCCGTTCCACCCTCCCCTGCCAGCCACACGTGCCTGAGCCCAAAGGGGTCCTCCCATTCACCGGAGGCTGGGCAGAGCTGGGCGATGGTTCAGCATCTAGGGCGGGCTGCCCCACCACTGAGCCCTCCTCTCTTCTCCCACAATTAAAGCGCAGAACAGTGGCAGGGAGTGTGTGTGCTGGGGGTAGGTGGGGAGGCCTCCTGGGTCCTGGGCCTGAGGCCTGGCAGGCGGGTGAGTCCTCAATCCCAGACTTCCAGGGGGGGCCAGGCAGGTGTGTGGAACAGACGCTCGTCCTGGATCCTGGTGGTGGGGGCAGAGGGTAGCCTAGTCTTTGACGAGTTTGTAGACATGGTGCTGGGCCCCGTGCTCGCTGGTGGAGACTTCGAAGACGAAAGCAATGACAAGCAGGGTCTCCTGGGAGTCCCGGCTCGTGACCACCTGGGGGCCAGGCAGGAGGATTCAAGGGGTCAGGCGGCACAGAGCCACAGGTGTAGGGGCCGAGAAGACCCTTCTCGTTTCTGGATAGCAGTCTCCTCACCTGAGCGACGGGTCTGGCCACCCCCACTTTGAGGCCCCTGTGCCCCCCATTCCCCAGCTGCCCCCCCACCCCCCACACCTGCAGGATGGTGAAGTTCTCCAGGACGCTGTTCATCATGTACTTCTCCGGCAGGTGCTTCAGCTTGTGGATGAAATTGATCATGTACTCGCACATGGGGGAGCGGTGGATGCGGTACACGAAGCGCCCATTCTCCAGCCTGGCATACTCCGTCTGCGGAAGGCCACGAGGAGGGCGTCACCCAGCGTGCCTGCTCCCGGCCCCACCGTGCCACCCTGGGCCCCCACTCACCTCCACCTTCTCCACCACTTGCTTGCCAAAGGAGCACACCTTGGTGGAGACGCTGATGGTCATGCTATCGGCCGAGCTATACTGGGAGCTGACCCCGTAGAAGGCTCCTGGGCCCTCCTGGATGGTGCTGTTGAGGTCGGCCTAGATGGGGGGAAGCGAGCGTGGTGTCAGGAGGGACGGAGGCCAGAGGGAGGCTTCTGGGCCTGCCACACCAGTGTTTCGCCCAAGGACCCGTCCCCAGCACTCTGCCCACAGGCCACAGGGAGAGAGGGCAGGGTCAGGGGTCAGCAGGGGGACCCAGGTACGCTGCACATCTGGGGGGCAGGGGTTGGTGGGAGCAGAGAGGGCAGCTCACCCAGAACTTGACAAGGAAGAAGGCATTAGGGGGCCCCTTCTCATAGAGTTCCTTCAGTCCCCCTTTTTTCTCTGGGAACTTGTCATAGATCTGACGCACGTCGACGGCCTCCAGAGGCGGGTCCGAAAAGGCAGGGTTCGTCTGGCCGATGTGCACAAATAGGTGTTTGCTGTACTGTGGGGAGGGCCCAGTACTGGGTCAGGAGAGCACTCAAGTGTGCAGGCCTTAGAGCTGCACGGGACAGAGCCGCCCTGTGGCTTCCCCACCCCAGGACCCTGAGCCGTGGCCCTGGACCGCCACGCCAGGGTCTCCATGACTGCACAAACCCTCACCCCCACCCCCAGCCACATTACCGTGTCGGGGTCTCGCTGCACCTCCATGAAGGCAGAATACTCGAGGAGCCGCAGCCGGGAGGAAGCGATGGTGCGGTCCTGCCACACGGGCACAGAGGCAGCAGCTGGGGGGAGCGGGGTCAGGGGCTCGTAACCTGGGAGGGCGAGATGGACCCTCATCTGCATGGCTGTGTGTGCGTGGTTACACATAGAGCCGCCTCCAGCTGCGCAGAGCATTGTGCAAACTAGAAAATGGCACCCTTTTCGGGTAGGAACACGGGTTGGATTTTGACTCCCTTTCCACGGCTTCTTGCACAGTGTACAACCTGCACAACTGTTTGCAGTGGCCCCAGTAGTACATAGCAGTGGAATTTTTATATCACTATTAACGTGTATTCAAAGAGAAAATGCAGGCAAGTAAAAAGGGAAAAATAGGGGTGCCTGGCTGACTCAGTCAGAAGAGCATATGACTCTTGATCTCGGAGTCATGGGTTCAAGCCCCACATTGGATGTAGAGATTACTTAAATGAATAAAAAAAATTTTAAAATAGAGTAAAAATTACCCAGGATCTCATCACCTAGAGAGAGTGAAATTCTGTTAAGATGTTGGTGTGTTTCCACGCGAGAATTTTATACACACACACACACACACACACACACACATACACATACACATATATAAATGTTGTATTTTTGTTGGTGTGTACTAGTTAGTAGCAGAGGTCTCGAAGCAACACTATAAAAGGTGAGGGGCCTATTCCTGTACCAATCCCCTATAGACACCACCCACTTCTCCCTCCCAGTGTAAACACAGGCACAGCCTTGCTGCCCTCCTCCCCCTCCCCCCCCCGCCCCACCCCTGCTCTTCTCAGCAGACGGGGAGGGGCAGAGGGGAGTAGGTGGCAATGTGGTGTGGGGAACTTACTGCTGAGCGTTGGCGGCAGGGGCGGCTGGATGGGGTAGGCTGGTTGTGCAAAGGGCTTGATGCTGCAGACAGGAGGAGCACAGCCTGGTTAGAGGGTCACCCCTAAGCCCACCTTCCACCTGGTCCAGTCACTTGGAGTCTCATCTGGTCTCAATAGGGAGCCACCCAGCCTTTCTGCAAAGGCCCAGAAATGCATGCTGACAAGCTAACTCACCAGCTTTTTGTCTTCTCCGCGTTTTAGCATTTGTGAAATCCTGCTGTGTCTCACAACTGATGTGCACATTTAATGTAGCCTTTTGACCCCACCCCGAGCTGCTCATTAAACGGAGGGTGTGTCTGAGGATGAAAGTCCTCTTAGAATTGAGGGAACCGAGTTCACTCGACTACCTGACGTGCTGACTAGGGGACCGACTGGGAGAGCAACTGAATGAGGAGGAGCTGAAGGACAGGTGACAAGTGGGTGAGTGGGTTGATGAGTGAACACACACATGAATGAATAGACAGATGCACTGCTCTCTTGCTGGTGCTCTCCATCCTCTGTTCTCGCATTAAAACTTTGCCCAGCTGTTGCTGGAACCCTGATCAAAGGGGAAGATGACTGCCAGGGACGAGGGTGTGGGAAGGATGTGCCACAATACTCACTCCTGAGAGGGTCCAGGCTGCTGTCCCAGGAGAGGGGGGCTGCTCCAGAACTGCAGAGATGGGACAAAGCCCAGCGGCCCCTCAGCATCCACGACCCCCACCACAGCCCAGCCCTGAAGGCACTCCCTCACCTCAGCCCCACCTCCCAGGCCCCCTGTACCCGTGAGGAAGTGGAGAAGACGGCCTGGGGCAGAGGGGAGGGTGGGCTGAACTTGTTCTGTAGGACGCTGGCGGAGACAATCTGGGCGGATGACATGGATGCCATGCTCTGGAGGGCTTTGTCCTTGGAGACCTGGTCCTGGGGAGGGGAGAGGCAGTGTGAGGCCAGGCCAGAGACAGGGTTGGGGTTTGCCTCAGGGCCCCTCCCAGGCCCTCAGGGCTCTGCTATGCGGGCTCAGGGGAGTCCCAGCCCCCACCTGGGCCGGTCTCCTAAGTGTCCATCACCCCTCTGAGCACAATCCTTGGTGAGAAATAATTTTACTTTATTCTGTAACCCAGTATATACCCAAACGCTTCCCCTTATGCTGTGTGTCATGCACTCATATTTTCTATTCTGTTTCATCAGCGGTTCTCAAAGTGTGGTCCATGAACCAACAGCACCAGGATCACCTGGAAGCTTGTTAGAAACACAAATTCTCAGGCCTCAGCCCAGACCCACTGAATCAGAAACCCTGAGGGTGAAGTCCAGAAATCTGTCTTCAACCAGCCCTCCAGGCGATTCTGATGCAGGCTCAAGTTTGAGAACCACTATCAGTATTCATTTTCAAAGCATGCTGGTCACAACCTATTCAATTGATTTCACAATTCATGATTTGAAGATCCTGTATTAGGTGCTCTCCCCCCATCTCCCACCCTGGGGAGGGGCAGGCTACTTACCAGGTTCATGGCCTGTGAAGGAGAGGGAGGTGGATTAGAAGAGGCACACATGAGGGCCATGTAGGGTGGGGACCTGTCTTCTCACCCTCCTCCGCTCAACGGCCACCTGGCTCTCGGGTCTGAGGAACCCAAGGGAGCTCAGAGGCCACCGTGGACCCTCACCCCACCCCACTGCTACCCAGAGCGAGAGCTTGCCAGTGGGCGTGCCCTGGAAAGAGCAGAATGAGGGAGGGCATGCTGGAGACCTAGATGGTGGACCAAGCTGGTGCCCTGGGGGGCTGCCCAGGTCCTCTGGAGCTGTGATACAGGCATGGGGCCTAGAGCGGCAGGCTTAGTCTGCTGGGCAGCTATGAAGTAAGGGGAAGGCACAGCCTACGGGGGCCCTGAGCCCTATGCTCTGGGATCCTCAGCCATAAGGCAGTCAGGATTGAGCATCAGGATTGAGCGTCCAATGCAAGGAACAGCCATGCCCACCACAACAGCTCTGCCAGCCGATGCCCCCGTGTCTCCTCCCTGCCCACCGAAGGCCCCATGCAATTAACAAGCAGCAATTAGGAGGAAGGAGAAAAAGGAAAACGAAGAAGAGAGGTGAGCCCTCTGGGGGAGCACTTCTGGGGGCAGTGGCCCCCAGATGGTCTTCCTCTCCCTCATTGTAGGGCTGGCGGTCCCCCTGGGCTTCTGCCTAGTTTCCAGAGGCTGTGGCCCTCTGTAGCCTGAAGTGGCCTTTAGACTTCATGCTGCTGTTTGTGTTTCTGAGACACCCTCCACCCCCCCATACTCTTCAGCCACCTGTCTGCCCTGGGCTGGTCTCAGAAAACAGCAGGGCCGGGCCAAAAGGCGGGGACCCCCTACCTTCAGCTTGGACTGAATCTCTCGAGATTTCCGCCTGGCTAGAACCTGCAAGTGGCTAGAGACCTGTAGAAAGAGAAAGAAAGAGAGAAAAAGAGCAGAAAGGGCAGAAGAAGAGGCAAGAACAGAGCTTCAGCCAGAAAAGAGGCACAGTGGGGCCAGAGAGCCCGCCGAGGCAGAGGCCTGAGCTGCGCGGAGATAGCGGTGGAGGTGCCGAGGAGGGACTGGAGGCCCTAGTCAGGCGCCCAACATACCTTGATGCCAACCTGGTACTCCCGCACCTTCTTCCGAGCTAGAACCTGTATGTGGCTGGACACCTAGGGGCCGCCCCGCGCCCCGTCAGAGAGGAAAACACAGAGAGTGAGGAGGCACGGCATGGGGCGGCCATGGGCAAGGAGCACCCCAGCCCTCGTCTCTGGGGCCAAATGGAAGTGGGGGAAACTATGGGGCCCTGAGCCCTGCCAGTTCTTTGCTCTCTTCTTGGCCCTGTTTTGATCAAGAGCCTATGGTAGGCTCCAGGACCACCATGTACAGTTGTATAGGTTGATCACTGCACAAGAGAACCTAAGTCAGCAAGGACTTGGGGCACCTGAATGGCTCAGTCAGTTAAATGTCCGACTTTGGCTCAGGTCATGGTCTCAAGGTTCACAGGTTCAAGCCCTGCGTCAGGCAAGATCTGTGCTGACAGCTTGGAGCCTGGAGCCTGCTTCTGATTCTGATTCTGTGTCTCCCTCTTTCTCTGCCCCTCCCCTGCTCATGCTCTGTCTCTCTCTCAAAAAAAAACAAAAAACAAAAAAACACATAAAAAACATTTTCAATCAATCAATCAATCAATCAATCAATCAGCAAGGACTAAAATCCAGCCCAAGGTCTGCTGCTCAAGTTATGTGCCCTGGAGTAGAGCTGCCTCTAACCCAGAAGGATATCTTTTTATTTTTTCCAAAACAGGATGACTTTTTCTCTCTGATGTCTTCAGAGGAGAGTTTCTCTCTCTCTCTTTTTTTTAAATGTTGATTTATTTTTGAGAGAGAGAGAGAGAGAGAGAGAGAGAGAGAGCGAGCAGGAGGGACAGAGAGAGAGAGAGAGAGAGGGAGACAGAGGATCCAAAGCTGCTCCACGCTGTCAGCACAGAGCCCTATCGATATGGGACTTGAACTCAAGAAATGTGAGATCATGACCTAAGCCAAAGTCGGATGTTTAACCGACTGAGCCACCCAGGTGCCCCTTTCTCTTTTTAAAACAGATTTATGTATGTATGTACATATGTATGTATTTAAGTAATCTCTGCACCCAATGTGGGGCTTGAACTCGTGACCCCGTGATGAGGTTACATGCTCTACTGACTGAGCCAGCCAGGTACCCTGAGACTTTTTTCTGATTGTCATCACCAATGGCCATAATGCTCCTGCGGGCCATCAGATTATACATCGAGGCCATATCCTCTATGAAAGATCTCTCCCTGTACCACCGCCTACATCCTGTGTCAACCCCAACAGCTTGCCAGCCTATAAAACCAGGCCTGGCCCTGCTCCTGCTTTGCTCATCAGCTTCCTCCCCCAACATACCTTCCTTCTCCTTGGACAAATATATGGCCATATATATATCTATACACACACACACACACACACACACACACACACACACACACACAGTAGGTGCCCTTAATAGCATTTCTTCTCCAGCGTATTACAAGGGTCTAACCCTAAGCCTGAGAGAACCTAAAGGTCACTGTTTTCCCACGAAACACAAGGGGACACATGGATCCTTCCAGGATGCTTCACACAGGCATTATCAGCAATGGCTGTGGGCTTTCTTTGCAAGTTGTTTTCATCCCCACAAAGAAACCGTTTCTTTTTCTTTTTAATCATATACCGCAAGTTACTATATAAGTGATGCTGGGCAGCCCTCTGCTACTGGGTTAGGGCCCAGGCTGGGTGTTCCTCGTGCTGCCTCACCGTGCACAGCAATCAGACACGTGTCCGGCGAGATTACTGATCACTCCATATCATGACAATAAGTGATGTTTCGTGGGCACAGCTATTGCTGCCGTCAGCATTTCACACCTCCCTCATCTGACCTTCATAGCGACACAGACAAGTCAGTACTCACATCATCCCTCGAGTTACAGATGATGAAACCAAAGCACAGAGAGGTGAAGCAGCTTATCCAAGGTCACACAGCTGGGGGCTACAGCTGGGATTTGAACCGAGGTGGCCTGAGTCCAGAGCCCACTTGCCACCAAGCTGTGCTGCCAGGATTCTCTGGACCCTTAGCACAGAGGACCACCGCCGAATGCTCAACTCGGTGACAGCTGGAAGTCACATGGAACTTAATCCTAATATAATGCTTAGCTGTTTTTTCAATGTGGAGGCATTGTACTTGCTATTAATTGCTGTATGTGTCTGTAAAAACCCTAAAACCACATTTTTAAACCAAAAGTAAAATAAAAACAACCAAAGAAAACCCCTGCCTGTCATCTGGTTGCTCTTTGCAACACATAAAGACATGCTTAGTCCTCACAACCATAGGATGGGTCTGTCTGTCTAATCTATCTATCCATCCATACATCTATTTTTTTAAGATTTTATTTTATTTTATTTTGTTAGTTTATTGTCCATTTATTTATTTTGAGAGAGACTGAGAGCACACAAGCACGAGCAGGGAAGGGGCAGAGAGAGAGGGAGAGAGAAAATTCCAAGCTGGCTCAGCCTGATGTGGAGCTCCAACCCACAAACCATGAGCTCATGACCGCAGCCAAAATCAAGGGTCAGACGCTCAACTGACTGGGCCACCCAGGCAACCTAAATTTTATTTTCTTAAGTAATCTCCACACCCAACGTGGGGCTCAAACTCATAAGAGATGGGTCCTCTTTTACAGAGATACTAGACATCAGAGTTCTAGGAAAGAATCAAGTTAGAGGAACGCTACCCTTGCAAAATGACCAAATTTTTAAATTCTGAGCTTGCCACCAGCTGGCCTGTAACACATCATCGTACAGCCAGCCTTCCTGGGATACCTGGCCAGGAGCAGGTACAATGTTCCTCTGAATCAAGAGGCTCTACTACCCTCCCTACACCTCAGGTCAAAGGGACTGAGCCTAAAGGTCCCTTGACCCCTTCCCACTCTGACAAACACGTTCCTATAAACATTTCTTTCGGTGAAGCAGGAGACAGTGCCCTTCTCCTGTGTCTGCAATGGCTTTCTGTTTAGTCTTTTTTTAAAAAATTAAGTTAGCTCTACACCCAACACGGGACTTAAAGTCACAACCCTGAGATCAAGGGTCACAAGTTCTTAGGGGTACCGGGGGGGCTCAGGTGGTTGAGCATCCGACTTCTGTTCAGGTCATGATCTCACGGTTTGTGGGCTTGAGTCCCACTTTGGATACTCTGTCCCCCTCTCTCTGCCCCTCCTCCGCTTGTGCTCTCTCTCTCAAAAATAAATGAAAAAAAAAAAAAAAAAAAGAGTGACATGCTCCTCCAACTGAGCCAGTCAGGAGCCCTGGCTTTCTGCTTATAAAGACAGAATAATAACAGCATTAGCAGCGGCAAATTCTTCTACAGTGCCCACTCTGTTCTAAGTGTCTTCACATAATAGCTAATTTAATAGCAGAGGAAGAGCCTGAGAGGCAAAGTACCCCTTCCCTGCAGGTAGCGGCGAGGGTATCTGAACTTGGGGGCATGATTAGCCAGCACCTCTGATAGTCAGTCCCAGGCCCCTGGGAACAGGGCCCTTGTCTGCCTGGTTCCCTGCCATATCCCTCATGCCTAGAACATAGTAAGTAGTAGCTCACTGATTCGCTAAGTGAGTAAATGCGGTGCAGTATGAACTGGCCCAGGGAAAGTGGTTAATAAAGGCCTGAACAGGGGCGTTTAAGTGTCGGATGGCTCAGTCGGTTAAGTGTCCGACTTCCGCCCAGGTCATGATTTCACGGTTTGCGAGTTCGAGCCCCACATCAGGCTCTGTGCTGACAGCTCAGAGCCTGGACCCTGCTTCAGATTGTCTCCTTCTCTCTCTCTGCCCCTCCCCCACTCACACTCTGTCTCTCTCTCTAAAACATAAACATTAAAAACAATTTTTAAAAAAATAATAAATGCCTGAATAAACGAGGGAGGTTCCTGCTCCCACACTGAGGGGGTGGACTCAAAACCTTCCTTTGAGACAACAGGATGGGACAGGTCAGCTCTGTCATATGCACATGGGGATCCGGGGAGGTGGGTGCAAGGTCCAAACCCCACCAGACAGGGAGGTTAGAAGAGCTGAGGATCAGAGGCGGCTTCCGGTCCTCCCGTCTGTGTGCCCAGCCTGCCTCTCTCCCAGGCACCCCACACGGAACCCACCCCAACCAGCTCCCTTTCAGGGCTCCCGTCAGCACACAGCTGCCCTCCCTGGCTCGGGGAGCCACCCGGTCATCTCTCCATGCTGCCACCACTACCCTCACCATTGCCACTACCCAGGCCACCATCGCTGTGGATCTAGGTCCCTGCCTCTGCCTGGCCCTCCCTGATCCACTGCCCCAGCTGCTCCAGGGCCAACATTCCTCGACAGCTGCCACCTGCCACTCCCTGTTCTATTCCCTTCCGTGGACCCAGCTGCCCGGAGGGGAAACCTGTCCCTCAGGCCTCCAGCCGCCATCCTCGGCTCTTCCTGCCCCTCTCCCCACCCACCGCGCTGCTGACTGGTGGCTCTTTCCTGCCCGGTGCGTTCAGTCCGGGGTCCACCCCCTACCAGCCACGTGACCTTGAGGAAGTTACTTATCTTCCCCACGCCTCAGTTTTCTCATCTGTAAAATGGAGGTAATTACTATACCCACCTCATAAGGTTACTGTGAGGAATAAATACATTAATATAGAGTAAGCCCTGTATGGGTTCCCAATTATTATACGTCTATCCAACTTCCTCAGCCTAGCAGAATCCTTTCCTCTTCTTCTGCCTGCCTAAATCCTAAGTTCCTACTTAAAAATGCATCTTGGGGGGCGCCTGGATGGCGCAGTCGGTTAAGCGTCCGACTTCAGCCAGGTCACGATCTCACGGTCCGTGAGTTCGAGCCCCGCGTCAGGCTCTGGGCTGATGGCTCGGAGCCTGGAGCCTGTTTCCGATTCTGTGTCTCCCTCTCTCTCTGCCCCTCCCCCGTTCATGCTCTGTCTCTGTCTGTCCCATAAATAAATAAAAACGTTGGAAAAAAAATTAAAAAAAATAAATAAATAAAAAATAAAAATGCATCTTGGGCGATACCTCCTCCAGAAAGCCTCGGCGGCCCCCCTCCTCCCTTCCCCTGCCCGGTCCAGGTCAGACCCTGTCCACCCGCCCACACTCTTTTGTTGGCCGTGCCGCCCTGCTCCGCACTCCTGTCACTGCATCCGTCTGTCTCGCTGGCTGGTCAGTGGGCCACTCAGGGCGGTGACCATGCACCGCTGAGGCTGCCCCACGGGGCTTCTCGGAGGTCACTCAGGTTGGGGTGGTGGTGGCCGGTCAGAGAGGACAGTGCCCCTTTCTCTACGACAGCGGCAAGAGCGGCCCGGGGAGGGTGTGTGGGCGGCAGGGATGCAGCACCTGTGTCTCCCTACCTGTTTTCTCGTCCGCGTCTTCCCCGTCCTCAGTTTGATGTAGCGCGCAATCAACTCATTTCGACCTGGATTGGGGTGAGAGAAGAATGAAGAGAGGCCAAGACCCGCCCTTCCCCGCCCCAAGCTGGGAAACCCACAGGCCTCTCCCCCAACACTGCTCTTCTGTTTCCCTCCTCCGACCCTCTTCACTCCAGCCGCCCCCCAAAGGGCACGAGCGGGGCAGATGGAGGGTAGGGGGAGTCCCAGATGCTCCCTGCGCTGCCCTGGGGGAGTGAGTAGGGGGCAACAGAGTGGGAGGAGGAAGGTGGGGCAATGTCAGGCCGCCTGACAGGTTTCCCCGCAGACAGACAGGGGCAGGTGCGGCCAAAGTGCGGCAGGACAGCTGGGCCGCTCACTCCTAGCCCCAGCAGCCCTTCCTTCCTCCCGGTGCCTGTCACCAGTGTTCACGTGTGAGTGAGGCCTGCCGCAGGTGGCACACGTCCCCAAGGGTGTCTGATGGAGTTCTGGATAGGCTCCTGTCCTAGCTGTCCTTGCCATGAGGAGAGACCCTGGACAAGTCCCTCTCCTTCTCTGGTGAAAGAGGCAGGAAGGACCCGATGGTCTCCACCACACCTTCTACCCTGACAGCCTGTGTCAAGATGTCACTGAGCACATCACTGTGTCCTCGAGCCTGTCACCGCCATGACACGGCTTACCAGTGTCTCTCCTGACTTGTTGAGATGCCGGCAAATGCTTAGCCAATACCTTTTATCCCCCAAATCCAGGCTCCCTGGCCCCCAACCCCATCACCTCCCCAGAAGGGCCACATTCTCCAAATTCCTCTTCCATGACAGAACCAGCCCCACTGCCCCTCCCTTCCTGCCTGCCCCTCTCCACCCCACTCCCTCCGCCCTGTCTAAAAATACCCTGTGGGGCTGCCCCAGCCATCTGGGAGGTAGCAGTAGGGACAGGCAGCCCCCGCCCTATGGAAGCGCTCTGGAACATCTGCCTGCCCACGAGTGGGCTCTGGGGCTAGGGCGAGCATGGCACAGAGGGTGGGGACAAGGGACACTGCAGTCCTTACCACTTGGCCCAGCTGTCTCCTTCCTGGCCCCCATCACGGTCATGGACGCTGGGAGGGGATGGGCTAAGGGCTTGCCTCAGTCAGCCATAGGCCGTCAGGGAGGGTTGGAGGGAGCCGGCAAGGAGCCAGGCCCAGAAGGGTTGAGTTATCCCAAAAATGCAGCTCTGGGAGAGCCCTCTCAGGGCTGGACAAGAGGGGGACACTCCCTTCTGGAGGCAAGGGATGGGCAAGGTGGCAGAGAGCAGGCTAGGAGAGCAGGAGACACTTGGGAGGTGGTCTGAGGAATGAAGGCGTCTCCTGGTCTCTCCAGCCCTCTCCCTAACCCAGGCCCCTGTCGCCGCCGTGCGGCCTGCCACCAGCGCGCAGCGCCCCCATCCCACACCCAGGAACTGGAGGGAACTCGCCAGTAGGACACCCCAGGTCTTACCCTGGGGCTTCCCCACCCTCTGTGGGGAAAGACCTTGTCCCAGGCCTAGCCTGGAGCACACTGGACTGACCCAGTTTCCTGTGTCCACTGAGTCACCCTGAAACCTGTAGGCCAGCAGGGGGAGGAGAGGAGGAGCCGCCGGGGGTGTCAAGGTGTGGGCCTCACTCTGGTGGAGGGGGCGAGCCTGGCTTGTTTATGAGGAGGATCCAGACACACAGGCTTACACGCCCAGACTCGCCCGTGGCAGGCTGGCGGCCTCACAGGACTTCACCAAACCGGTTGGGTGAGGGGGCAGAGAGCAGGGGGAGGTGCCAGGGAGGGCCAGGCCACCTCTCCGGTCCTGTCCAGTGTCCCTGTGCCTCCCCGCACGCACCGTACATCTTGCCCTCGTCTGACAGGATGATCTTGCGGCGGCCGCAGGGCGGGTAGATGGCCAGGGCCTCCTGGAAGCTCTGCTCGATGTCGGGGCTCCACACACCCTCCGCGTCGTTGTCCAGCCCCTTGTCCAGGCCCTCGGGCCCATCCTCCCGGGCCTCCCCGGGGCTGCTGCTGGCATTCCAGCTGTTGGACGCTATTGTGCTGGTTGCTCTGGGCTCTGGGCCTGAGCCCACTGGGCAGCCGGAGCCTGTGGGGCAGACACAGAGGAGTTAGGGCCAGGCTTCTCCCAGATCCCAGCATTCTCCCACCCCAGGGGCAGGTGCTCCAGGGCAGGGTGGAGATAACCAGAGGTTATGCCTGTTCAGCGCTGTGTGACCTTGACCGAGCTACATCACCTCTCTGAGCTTTCGGTCCTATAAGACAAGGAAAAGGTCTCCTTGAGGTTGTGAGGGAAATGAGATCATGACAAAGTACCAACCCCCAATGCCTGACTCATAAAACACTCGAGACATAGTCTTGGTGGTGATCGATAACAACAATAATAATGCCTATATCTACACGGCACTTTTGTGGGGAAGAAGCACATTCATATTCATTTAATCCTCAAAGCTAAGGCAGGAAGGGCAAGGACTGGTGCCCATTTTTCAGACGAGAGACTAAGGCTCCCAAGGTTATGCGGCTGCCAAAGGCATCGTGACGAATGGAGAGGAGAAACAGGAGTGGGGCCCGGTGTGTCTGCAGCTCTCAGAGGGGCTGCTCGGCTCTGACTCTGCCTGCTCCTCCTCGGGTCTTGGGCATCCCCAGCCAGGGACCCCCCCCCCCCCACCTCCTCAATCTCCCCCTGCCCCAGTGCAACCCTGCTGAAGACCCATTATGCGGGATGGGGAGGGTCCCTGACCCAGGAAGGGTGTGGTTGTGACTTCCCTAAAAGATAACTCACAAGGAACCTAAACATGGGGGCTGGGACTGTCCCAGGAATTGCGAGGAGGGAGGGATGCTGGCTGGCAAGGGAGCAGCTGAGAAGGTGCCTGGCCAACAGCCTTGCTCAACCCCACTGGCTCCTCCGTCCCACTTCCTGTTCCTGCACCTCCCGGCCCCACAGCAGCCCATAAACCACCCACACGCCTGCCCCTGCCCTGGCCCACATTGCAGATGGGCCAGGGCTCTGTAAACTCTGAGTTCCCTGCACACGCCAGACTGGGTTATTAACTTAGACCTCACCCGGCAGTGCCCCCAACACACACAGCTCCAAGGCTCACCCCCAACCCCCTTCAGCCTCAGACTCTGCATGACCAATGCATTATCAGGGTCCTGGGAGCCTTGGAGCCCAAGACGGCTACATCCAAGGACTTTGCTCTGGCCTGCAGGGAAAGCGGGGGGTGGGTAGGGTAGGAAAGAGATGTGGAGACCCCTCTGCAGCCAAGGAAGAGAATTCTTTCCCCTCAGACAAGAATTCCAGGTACTGCCAAATGGGTAGAGGGTCCTCTCTGCGGGGCCACCTGTTTAGGGAGGCTTGAAGAGTGTGGCTAGTGGCAAAGGATGGGGAGGGCCTAGGAGGCCTGAATGTCAGAAGGATATAGACTTAAGATTACTAATGAGGGGCGCCTGGGGGGCTCCACCAGTTAAGCGTCTGACTTCAGCTCAGGTCATGATCTCACGGTTCGTGGGTTCGAGTCCCATGTTGGGCTTTGTGCTGACAGCTCGGATCCTGGAGCCTGCTTCGGATTCTGTGTCTCCCTCTCTCTCTACCGCTTCCCTGCTTGTGCTCTGTCTCTCTCTCTCACACACACAAAAATAAACACTAAAAAAATTTTTTTTAAAATAATAAACATTAATATTAAAAAAAAAAAGACTACTAATGAGAGCACCTGTTATATGGCAGGCACCGTTCTGGGATTTTACACGCATTGATTCATTTAATCCTCAAAATAACCCATGGGGTAGAGACTATTACTAGTCCCACTTTACAGATGAGGAAACCAAAGAACAGAGAGGTTAAGCAACTTGTCAGACACACAGCTAGTAAGTGCTGGAGCTGGGCTCTGAGCGTAGGCAATCTGGCTTCAGGCCCTTAACCAAGGGGATGAAGCTGAGAAGCCTCACCACCTTGAGCCAGAAAGGAGGCCCAGCTGTCATGGCAACCGCTCTGAGCCCACCCAGTGGGGTCCAGACCAGGGGCCTCCCCCCAGCCCAAGTAGCTGGGGCAACTTCAAGGACACCCATACTCCCGAAGCCCTTTCTGTGAGGCCTCTAAGACCAGGAGGAACAGCTCTCCCACACCAGAGGGGTGGCCAGGGAGAGAGGAAGCCATGCTCCTGACCAGTGAGACGGCCAACTCCTCTACTCCCAGCCTGTCTCTCCCCACCGGAAGTTATATCCCCATCCCCTCCTTAACTCCTGAGGCCACGTTCTTGGAATAAAAATGTGAGAGGGCAGAGACTCAAGACTGGAGACCCAGTGACTCCCATATTGAGGTAGTTGAGATGCAGGGCCTCCTCCCAGATCCGACACTGCCACAGGCTATGAGGGGAGGCAGAAGAGGGGCTACAGTGGGCTAAGACCCCTCCCAACAGAGTCCTCAACGCATTTCCCCCCAAATCCTTTCCTGAGGCCTCCCTCGGAGCAGCAGGGGCCCAGCGCATGGGGGGCCCTGGCAGCCCCAGACTTTTCACAGCAATTTTCCTGCCTCCCCCAAGTCTCTGCCCGCCTCCCCTCTTCCAGGCGGTGGCCCCCCCCCTTCTCGGGGTGATGTCAGCCCCGCCCCGCCCCCCGCAGGAGCACTGTGGCCAAATATGGCGAACACAGCAGTGCTTGGGAGCTGGGACAGACTGGGGGGGCGGGGCGGCGGCCCCTGGCTGGGACCGCTGGCAGCTGGTGAGGGGGAGGGGAGCCCAGGGGGCGGCTGCAAGGACGAGTCAAGGAGACAGTGGGACCACCGTCCCTTCCGCTGGCTCATAGGCACGGGCAAGGCTCACTTTCTAGGAACACTCCTGTGGGCACAGGCGCCAACACAGGGGCCCACAGGTGACCCCTGCCCCACACAGCCACGCACAGGTATGCTGTGTGGGTGCCTGGACTGACATCCAAATGAGAATGTCCGTACCCCCCAGGCTGAGGCACACCCGTGGGCGTCAGCGAGCAGGCAGCTGCGCCAGGCAGGGGGCTGAGCTGGGGTCTCTCTCCTAGAGCAGCGCTCAGGAGTCTAGGCCAGCTGCTCTGGTCTTCCCAGAGTTATTGCTGTGGGTTGAGGACGGAACCTCGGACCCTCACACCACTGGGGACCCAGCTCCGGGGCTACGGGCTCTTCAGACGGCTGCAAGCTGGACACGTGTGGGGCTCAGGCACGGTGGAGGGAGGAACGGAGATGGGTGCCCTGGGGTGAGAGGCAGCCGGGGGCAGGGTCTCCTCCCCGCTGTGCAGAGTGGGGTGGGGAGGGATGGCAGCCCCCAGCTGCTTGTCGGTGCTCACCCAGCCGTCCAGGGCGTCTGCCTGCTGGACTGGGCCACCAAGAGGGGTGGGAGACAGGGAGGAAGACCTGAGTGAGGGGCAAGGGGGTGGGGCCTGGGAAGAGTCTGGGGGTGGGGTAAAGTAGACAGAGACAGATAGACAAGACAGACAGACAAGAAAGACAGACAAGGGAGACAGGAGAGTCCCAGAGAATAAGAGACAAAACCCCCACAAAACCTTGGAGTGAGACCCAGAGAAGGAGAGATCCAGAGAGAGACAGAGCTGGACCCAGAGACTGTGACCAACAGACCCAGACAGATAGAGACCAAGATCCCGAGAGACAGAGGCACACAGCTGG